GGCGTTATGCAAATCTTCCCACATAGTGATGTAGACATGTGGGGGCGTGTTAGAACGAGCCGTTTTAGGTAGGCGTGGCTGACTCTTAACTTTTATAAAGAATATCTCTTTGGATTTGAGACTTTAGTCTTTGCAACTTTACAGATCTTCTTTATGCACCAAGAGCTTGTAACACTCCAAAGAGAAAGGACAAATTGAAATCGCATCATATGACCCCTTTAAGTCATGGCTGCTATCTAAGCTTAGTTTAACCTCCATTCCGATACAATCATTTATTCAAAGAAACAAAAGGCAAGCCATAACTTAGACTGGGTAATTTATTCCTTTATAATTAGACACTAAACATGTGCATGGCCTGTGTGTCACAAGTACAAAGGTCACAAGATTAGTTGAAAATGCTAACAGGAACAAGGTCTCCGCTCCGGTCATATTAACGAACTTTTCTGACATGCAAACTTTGTTTATTTATAAGCCCATATAGAGTCCCTGTTCTCCATTCATCTCTGCTTTGAATACAACACTCTGAATCAAGAATCAGGCTGCATTTACAACACGCATGTAAAATTCAAGCTCATTCAGGAACAAACATTCACAAAACTGTTTATCTAAAGTCAAGAGCGACACGTCTGACCCCAAAATGCTGTTATCAGGACTCGAGCACGAGTTACTATGACCCGGCTGGCTTTCGAAACATGAGTGAAACATACAGTGGGGTCCAAAAGTCTGACACCACAATGAAAATGCGAAAACATTGAAGTGTTTCGTTAATAATAACAACAAAATTTTTAAAATTATATTATTTAATTAATTTATTTGTAATATATAAACTTAAAAATAGAAATAAAATATAGTAAAATAACCCTAAGATAAAACTGTATTTATGCGAATATGGTGCTAACATGCAGATTAGGGTTTCTAATAATAATAATAATATGGTTCGTTTTATATCTTCTGCATTGAAATATTAAACTATTTTCATTTCCAAACTGCAGCGTTAAAGATTAGGGTCACAGTCATGCTGCTTTACTTCTTACGACATGACAATAATGGTATTCATCGGCATAGAATTATAGATAGGATTTTCATCATGCAGATTTTTGAATAAATATTTTGCCAGCATTTACATTTGTTCATTTTAATGTTCTGCAGCAAACCTAAATATTAAGCACCCCAAACTGTTAAATTATTGTTAAATAAATTCAGACGGTGAGCTTATTTTATTATGTAAATCTCAAAAAGATTCAAATCACTGTCAAAACAATAATATGTAAAACTGTTAAAAACATTACATTTTAAAATGTGCAATGAAACCAAAACATAAACTTAATTCTGACAGATATTACACCATGCCCAAATCAGTTTATCAAGTAGATTTAAGGGAGAAATGAGCTATAATAGGATTGCACATGATGCATTTAGTGCAGAATAAACATGTGATATTCTACTAGTTCAGTGAGTCTGTAGTTTGTCACAATATTGTCTATAATAATATATTACTCAATCAGAGCTGTTAATTCCCTGAGGATTTCATTGCCACTAGTCCATGGCATGATTTTCGCATGCAGTGCGTCTGAATCCTCTGAAATGGCTTTGCGCAACAGTTTCTCTAGGGTGAATCCTTTCCTAGGCATTGCAATATCCCCTTCTTTCAATTCTCGAACGGGGCAAAAGTCATTTCCTCCATCTCCTATATAGCAGATCCTCTCATAATGCACATCAGCCTTAGCTTGCTTCTCTCTGAAGTCTTGCAGCACCCTCCTCTTGCACATGTTTACGGGACATTGCTGACAGTCATGCGCGTGAAAGCAGCGCACACTCATATAGCCGCGCGCATCGATGCTGGCAGGGTTGGTGAAGACGTCATCCACAGCAGACTTCACCCCTGATGCATGCAAAACCCAGTCTATGAAGACACTGTTGGAATCGGAGATTATGATGCAGTCGATGTCTTTCTTATTCTCAGATATGAAGGTCAGGAGCTCGAGCATGCCGTCGGTGAACGGGATGCTCTCCATGACCGCGCGCATGTGCTCCGGCCGGACAGACTGCTCTCCGATGTAGGTCAAGACTCGAGCCATATACTCGGTCCAGAGGCCTTTCTGGTATGACTTCTTCAGCCAGTCCGGTAGCGTCTGCTCGGGAGCGGAGCGGAGCACCCATGTGTCGCTGTTGTCATCCACTATAGTGTGATCGAAGTCGAACACTACTAAGGTCTTCATTCTGCGCTGGAAATGACACACAAACAAAGTACTGACATAATGAGCGACAAAATAGATGTTCAGTATTCGACATATCTGTCTCGGAAAGTCAAATAACGAGATGCATGTAAGCAAATCAAATATATACTGACCTGAAGCGGCAGCCCGAGTGAATTATTCGATTTCTGAGACCGACACTTGCCTACATCACAAAGCATGATTAGTCACCGCCCCGCAAGCGACGGCTCGTCTCTGATTGGCTGCCACTCACGTCACTCAAACGACTTGGTAGGCTCTGATTGGTCGCTACAATCGTAAGAGCTTGGGTCGTTCGTTCTTGCTTTCTGTTTCATTCAAAGTGAATCAGTGTATTCTGAATGAAAACGCAGTTGTCTTACTTAAAATATAGTGTTAGTAAATATTTTAGAATAGTAGAGTCATAAAGGTATGAAATAACTCACTATTTATGACTGAAACACTAATTTCAAGCTTGAATATAGTAAAAAAAATGAATAAATCACGTGGTACCTTCGCTGATTAATCAGTACATTAAGACATTTTTGTATTACGTTTTCTGAAAAATGTTTAAATGTGGAAATGAGGCGATATTTAATTAAACATGCGCTAATTTTCATACATTTCCAGAAGAGAAATCTGAACATTGGATAAAGCCAGGTTCCAATGTGTTGTTTCCTTTTGTTGACATATTAAAGGTTCGTAGTTAGGATTTTGAGGATCTCTTTCTAAAAGATTAAAAAATGTATGATCAAATAAAGAAATGCTAATATTAATGCACAATGGTAGACCTAAAATTAAAGTTATAAAATAAAATGAGATCAGATCAACTAAATACAGATAAATGAAAGAAAAATAGAATAAAGGAAAAAAATCTCTACCGATAAATTCTGCATCCTTAATTTCTAATTGCACTTGAAGAAAGTTAGGAAGAGTCTTCAATAAACAGGACCACTGAAAGTGAAGTTCACAGGTTCAGTATCAATTTTTATTTGTCAAATTCAACAGAAGCTAACATTGTCATCTCTTTACAAACATAAAGCCCTTACAAAACTCCAATGTATGCGAACATGTCCCCAACAAACCCATCTTAAAAAACAGCTCAGATTGGACAGAAAAACAATTAAGCAACCATTTTCACTAAACGCTTATGTCAGGATATGGGCAAGAAAATGAAAACAATTGTCAGATAAAAGCAGGACAAATATAACCGATTCAACTGAAACAAATTAGGACATTGTGATCCGTATCAGTCATAGAGGCATGTCTGTTTCACACAATGACTAAAATGTGTCTCTTTGTATCCAACATTGTACAGCAAGTCATTGATGGGGAAAAATAAAACAAAAAATGGAGTGGTACATGCAGTCTCTCAGTCGCTGTCACTGGAAGAGGAGTCCTTTTTCTTCGCATCTTTGCTTGGACTTTTAGATTTGTCCTTCGCTCTCTCTTTAGATTTCGGACTCTCGCTGCTTTTTCTTTTCTTCTGTTTATCAGCATCACTCTCAGAATCACTGCTTCCACTCTCACTCTTTTCTTTCCTCTTCCTGCCGCTCTGTCGATCATCTCGCTCTCGGCTTCTCGGTCTCTGGGAGGATCGCTCTTTGGAGCTCCGGTCTCGTCCTCTGCTCTTTGACTCCTCTGCACTCTTCCTCTTGTTTCGGTCTTCTGCGTCTCTCCCGCGGTCTCGTCTGTCTCGCTCTCTGCTTCTCGACCGGCGAGATGATCTTCTGTCCCGGCTGCTGCTGTGGCGTCTGTCACGGCCTCGGTCGCGTGATTGGCCACGCTTGTCGCGGCCTCTGGACCGGGACCTCCGTGACCCGTCACGACCCTTTTCTCTGCTTCTAGATCGGTCACGGCGCTGCTCTCCATTCTTCTTCTTTTCCACCTCTTTTGACTTTTCCTTGTCATTCCCTTCTGAATGTTGTTTGCTCCTTTCTTTGCTTCTGTCCTTTTGCTCGCCCTCCTTGTCACGCTCTTTGGCATCTTTCTCTTTCCTGTCTTTGCTGCTTGAGCGTCCCCGTTTGTCATCCGCTTTACTGTGCTTTTCCTTTTCTCTCTTCTTTTCTTTGCTCTTGCTCCGGCTGCGAACTTTTTTCTTTTCTGCATCAGCATCGGCCTTTTTCCGTGCATCCCTATCTCTGCTTTTGGAGCGATGTTTGTCCCTCTTCCTGTCTCTTCCTCTGGAGGGACTGCGTGATTTGTCCCGCTTTGCATCTCTCTTTTCTCGTTCAGAGTTCTTTTTTGCTTCTTCTTGTCCTGCAGCTGTGTTCTCGCTGGCTGGCTCAGTGGCTTCGGTCTTTTCCTCTGACATATCACCTCTGGGGGAAAAAAACAAAACAAAAAAAACCACATGAAAGATTTATTTTCCAAATTAAGAATAATAAATAATATATTTTTTAATAAATTATATAATATAGATAACTCTTGAGTGCAAGTAACGTTTTGGAATAGCACAAGGGCAAGAAAACAATTTTACTTTTGCGTGAACAAGTTTATTAACTCATTGCATGAATCCTGGATGAAATATTTGTGCACACTGTAAAAATTGCACATACTTGTCCCCTTTGATCCATCGATCCTGGGTGGTGGCTACGTATGCTTTAGCTTTCTGTGTCCTTTGCATTTCCTGCCTCCAGTGTGGAGGTGTCTCACTGCGGCGAAACCGATCCCATGACCGCGAGCGAGATCTAGATGGTGTCCGGTAACGCTACAGGAAAAAATAAAATAATAAAAATGAGCTTTAATTTTATTCACTAAAATAAATAAAAAAGATATGTAAAACAAAACATGGATTGTTCAAAAGTTTGGGATCAGTTCTTTTCTTTTTTTTAATCCAGCAAAGATGCGTGAAATTGACAGTAAAGACATTTATAATATATATATATATATATATTTTTTTTTTTAATTCTATTTTTAAATTAATGCTATTCTTTTGAACTTCATGGTGCATCATGGTTTCCACAAAAAAATTATACAGCACAGCGGTTTTTAACCGTATAATATTCAGGAATGTTTCGTGAGCAGCAAATCAGCATATTAAGATGTGTGAAGGATCATGTGACACTGAAGATGGGAGTATTTTATTCAAAGGAATTTTTATTAAATGTTAAAATATTTCACAATATTACTGTTTTAACTGCATTTTTGATCAAATAAATGCAGCCTTGCTAAGCATAAGAGACGTCTTTCCGAAATCTTACCGAGCCCAAACTTTTTGAGTGAATTCACATTTAACTCTCATGATCTGCCTTTCAAAGCAAGTCATATTTATTCTCTCACCCTCGGTCCTCTTCCTTTAATTCTGCGCCCTGACCTGGTCATCACCAGTCTCGTGCGGTTCGGCCGCGAGTTCACCATGGGTCTGGAATATAATTTACAAGTTACGAGCAAAATATAAAAATCTCACAACATAAGCATTTCATCCATGTCTGTACAACAAATGATCCTCCACATCATTGCTGAATGAAGTCTCAACATATCACATTCTACCTGTCCCTTTCCCTCTCCCTTTCTCTTTGTCTGTCTTTTCCAGAGTCCTCCTTGTGCTTTTCTTTCCCCTGCTCCTCTTCTTTGGCCTTCTGGGGGCTTCGCCTCATTAGGAAGCGGTTTTCTGGAATAGCCGGGACTTCCTCTGGGCGGATGGTCGACACGGGTTGGGGATCAGCCTCTTCCTCATCAGACCTACAGAAAAGACATGTTAAAATTCTTACTACATTAAAAATCACTTTCAGCAAGAATGAACATGGTTTGTACAAATTTAAAAAAAACAAACAAAAAAACGATTGGCTGGTAAAATTATTTCAGATATTGTTATGAATACATTTTAATTGTTTAAATTTAAAGACTGCTTATTATGTCTGTGATAATTTTGGTACTGTGTGGAGCTTTTAGTAATGACGTGCTCAACACATGGAAAGTAAATACTTCAAATTTTGAAGCATTCTATATAAGCGTTGCTGTAGGGTGAAAGACTCCCATCATAAAAGGGCAACTGCACCCTTTCTTGTCTTTCTTCTTGTGTTTCTGTTCTTTCTTTTTCTTGTGTTCCTTCTTATGTTTCTTCCGTCGTTTCTTCTCCTTCTCCGATTCCTCTGACCCTGACGAGCTGTCTGAGGAAGAGTCGTTGTCACTCTCGCTGGATGACTGATGCTTCTTCTTTTCTTTCTTTGCTGGATGACAGAAGTTTAAGCAATACTTTAGAACACAGTATCACAATTTGACTGGAAAAAATGCATTAGTAAGATTAAATTTAAGTGTGATCTCTTTGAGATGCTATTTTTGCACTGCCAATCGTAATTTATTATTAATAAAAGTTTACAGGAACATTCTGCATGAATGATTAACATCCAGTCTATTCTCAAGATAGTCGTGAATAACACAAATAATCATATGGCTCGTTTCCACTGAGCGGTACGGTTCAGTAAAGTACGGTACGCAATTATGTCCATTTTCATTGTCAGAAGTTGGGAATGGTACCAAAATAGTGAACCGTACCACTTTTTTCCACCAAAAGGGTGGAGCCAAACTCACGGCAGAACGTTGATTGGTTGACTAGAATCGTCACTTTTGCGTGCTACAAGGGGATAAAGCTTCTCCTTCACTCGTTCCGCTCTGCTGTCCATAAGTGTTGGGCTTATTTACATCAAGAGTGCGCAAACAAAAAAATAAAACGGTGTATTTTATAATTTCACTCGGACAATAGCGGTAATATGCGAAATATGCGTTTTTGTGGACTTGTGAAACGTCATTGCCCAAAAACCCACATCATTTTCAAAATATTACTGTTATTATGTCATGAAATGTAGTTTTAAGAGTTTTTCAGGCGAGAATGTAGTTGTTTAAAACTGAAATCTGCGGTTTGTTTATAAAGATGGCGCCTATTTGAAAATTTGCCATGCCGATTTCGGAGCTCCAGGCGATCAGCAGGCGCTCAGTGCTCATGTATCCGCATAGAGCAGCCTCAGCTCAGCTAGTCCTTCCGACATTTGCCGCTGGCTCTGATGTCTCTGTAGTGATTAAACATGAGATACAATTCCTTTTGGGTAAATTTTAACAGGCATTCGTGGTCTCATGAATCTATTATTTGTTCCTGGTCATATCGTTTTGGCTGAGCACAAAGTTGTTTAACTTTATATATTTATTTTGAACTTTACCGTAGTACAGCGCTGACTTTGTAGCATACGTTTGACTGAATTGTTTGCTTTTGTCATACTT